TGATGGCGGACAAGTGACTATATAAAGGCGGCGGGGACAGGTTAAGAAGTGTTCAAGAGTCCACAGCAGAGGGGAAGTAACTGTTCTTGTGAGGGTGGTTCTGTCCGATGGACCGCAGTCTCACTGTCTAGGGGAGTGAGTTGGAATAGTTCCATGTGCCAGGGTGAGAGGGGTCGGCTGTGAAACGACCAGGCACGGCCTCGCGCTCGGGGCCGACGTACAGTGGTCCTGCAGCGTTGGAAGGCTGCGGGCCAATCACTCCTCTGCAGAGCGCACAATGCGCTGTAGTCTCTGTTTGTCCCTGACTGTGGCTCCAGCGAACCACACGGTGATGGAGGATGGTGATGGAGGAGGTGATGAGGAGGTGATGGATGAGGAAAGAAGTGAGGATGGACTCGATGATGGCGTGTAGAACTGCACCAACCATCTGTGCAGGCAGCTTGGCTTTCTGAGCTGCCGCAGGAAGTACATCCTCTGGCAGGGCCTTCTTGATGAGGGGAGCTGATGGTCGGCTCCCACTTGAGGTCCTGGGTGATGGTGGTGGCCCAGGAAACGGAAGGACTCCACAGAGGTGATGGGGGAGTCCATCACGGAAGGTGGGGGCGGGGGGGACAGTGCTCTTCCTGAAGTCCACAATCATCTCCACTGTCTTCTGGGCGTTCAGCTCCAGGTTGTTACCACTGCACCAGGACACCAGCCGGTCCACCTGCCCTCTGTAGGCGGACTCATCGTTGTTGGAGATGAGTCCAATGATGGGTGGTGTCAGTTCATCGCAGAACTTGATCTGCTTCACGGAGTCGTGGCTGGAGGTGCAGTGGTTGGTGTACAGGGAGAAGAGAAGGGGAGAAAGAAACACAGCCCATGTGGGGCTCCTGTATTTATAATCGAGAGTCGTGACATTCTCTCCCCAGACGCACTCGCTGCTTCCTGTCCGTCAGGAAGTCAGTGATCCCTGCAGGTGGCTCGGGCACGTTGAGCTGGGAGAGCTTGTCCTGGAGCAGGGATGGCAGGATTGTGTTGAAGGCAGAGCTGAAGTCCACGAAACAGGACCCTGGCGTAGGTCCCGGGGAGTCCAGGTGCTGTGGATGTGGTGGAGGGCCAGGCTTGGATGGCGTCGTCTTACAGATCTGTTGGCTCTGTAGGCGAAACTGCAAGGGGGGTCCAGGAGGAGTGGAGGTGAGGGACTTGGAGATGGAGAGAGAACAGGCGTTCAAATGACTTTCATGACGACAGAAGTAAGTGCTACAGGTCTGTAGTCATTGGCGTCCTGTGATCCTGGGCTTCTTGGGCGGGGGCAATGGATGGAGGATTTGAAGCAGGCGGGGACATGGCGGACGCATGAGAGGAGATGAAATGTCAGTGAACACAGAGTTAGTTCACACGGCAGTGTCTCAGAGTGGTGGGGAGTCACTTGGTCCGGGCCGGGAGCTTTGCGGGGGTGAAAGCCTCATGAGAGTTGTTTAATATCTCTGTGAGGAGACTTGGCTGCTTTCAGTTCGTCCTGAATGTATTTAGCTGCTTTGAAGCCGCTGCGGTCCCCTCTCCCTGAACGCCGACAAGACATGGCATTCCATTTCACTTACAGGGACCTTAGCCGTATATACGGCCCCAGGGAAATAGGTCTCACCGTGCTGTCCGGTGTGGCTTAGCACGGGGGGGTGGTGAGGATCCTTCCTTGCCTGTGTTATTCCTGCATGCTGGACACGCCACCTGCTAAGTGTAGGCAAGAGGAAGAAGGGAAGAACGCCCTACCGCATGATTGCGCATACGTTTTAACTGAAACTTGAAATGACATTGAAAATGTTCAAAAGTTGACATGACACAACTGTGTCTCTTCCTGCGCTCGGCATCAGATAAAAGTTTTGTTCAGATGTTTTTGCAAGACCGTAAGTAATATTTTGCTTGTCATGTTGATGTTATAATAGGAATAAAGCCATCACTTGATCACCAGCTGAAAGGATTGGAGCTCAGGACAACTGCCCAAATGGCGACTCATTTTTGGCTTTGGTTACACCCAGTTTCCCCTGCATAAAGGACGTTGCCTAAAACCCGTTACCGTGATCCACGATTTTTCAGGCGGTTCAGGACTCTTTAAAATCAGCAGCCACTAGCTTGCTTGGGACAACCCTGGTACTTCAAGTGACCTCCCTCGCAGCCAACATCACAAGGGGCAGACCTCCTCCTCAGCCCATACCTATCTCAATACAGTAAAGTTATAGAGATCGTAAACTCCGCCCTTTGGAGTGCTTTCCACCTAGTTATTTCACGACCTAAGAAACCATTGAGTGTTCAAGTATGTTCCCGTCCCATGAACACTCGTCTCAAAACCAAGATGCACTGTGACAATACCTCACCCCACCGAGTTAGGCCTGTAACAGAAAGCAAAGGATTACACAACAGGATAGCACCTTGCTTTGACACAGTCAGTATCTGTAATTGTATGTGACTTTTATTTAGGGACTCCTGAAAAAGATGGTCCTTAATCTAATGGTCCTTTCCTGGTTTAAATAAAGTAAAAAAAAATAATAATATTATATATATATAATATATATATATATATATATATTAGGGCTGGTCCCAAATTATCGCGTTAATTCCGTTAATTACGTTTTCATTAACGCGTAAAAAAAATAATTAACGCTTTAACTGCCATTGACGTGTCCACTCTTGTTGTTGTACCCCCAAAAGTGACGTTGTGAGCAAGTCCAAAACAGATTTATAGCGAGGCTCGGGACGACCTGCGTCACAGAAAACTAGGGGAACTCAAGAGCCAATGGAGAGTCAGGAACCATAATTCAAATGTAGTGAACGGAAACTCCATAGGAGGGCGCCAACAGACGGGTTAGGCTCAAAAGTTGAGTTCTTTAACTATGTGGATTAAATGTCAAATATATGGCCAGGACCCTGTAGGGAGCCTCTAGGAAACATTTATTTAGGAGTGTAAAAGATAAAAAAAAGTTGATTTGGTGTTTGTTACTCTTAAAGTACGATTTGGTATGAATAAAAATGTGTCATTACATTTGAAAATCTCATTTACTTCAATTTGGAAGTGGAGTTGAAAGTGGGCATATTGTATAAAAATGCGATTAATCGTGAGTTAAACTCACCATTATATGCGATTAATCAAACTAAACAAATTAATGTTTGACAGCCCTAATATATTATATATGTAATTTATATATATATCTATATAATATATATTCTATTTATTTTATCATTTTGGCATACCACTAGAGGGAGCCCCGCGTACCCAGTGATTTACGCGTACCACACGTTGAGAATCACTTGAACTCGTCCATACAGACAGACAGACTGACATATACAGTACAGACCAATAGTTTGGATGCTTTTGTCATTCAATGAGTTGTAGATTCACTCTCAGCCTGTGTAAGGGATAGTGACCAGGCTCCACAGTTCACCAGACTGTGGAGGGCCAATTCCAGATGGTTTTGTGATGAGTTGGACCACAGAGTGAGGTGAAAGGGCCAACAAAGCTAAGCCATATCAGGGATCTCCTTCAAGACTGTTGTGACCTTTTCAATCACTACCTCTTGAAGCTCATCAAGAGAATGCCAAGAGTGTGCGAAGCAGTAATCAGAGCAAAAGGTGCTACTTTGAAGAATTCGACATATAAGGACTTAGTTTCAGTTGTTTCATACTTTTTTTCTTACGGACATACTTAATTCCAATGAGTTACATCATAGTGTGATGCCTTCAGTTGTGAATCTACAATTTTCATAGTGAAAATAATGGAAAATATGAAAATAAAAACAATCTTTGATGAGAAGGTTGTGTCCAACCTTTTTTTATACAGTTGTTCAAATGGCTTCATTATTACTTCTCACCTACAGATGGAAGAGGAGACGTATAACTGTTAGACAATATCGAGACTACCACCTTTATAACGCTATACACAAGTCTTTAGCATATGCTTAAAACATACTTGTAAAAAAACTAAAATGTTTGTATTTATTTATATTTTTTTTTTCATTTTGAGTGTGTGTATGTATGTTACATCTCTGTATTGCAATCTCTTCAAAAGTTTAATTTGTCCAAACAAATTGAATTAAACATTGTACTCTAAATAACGTGTTGTGAGACACCAGGTCCCTATTTCGAACAACACCAACACAGAACAACAAGCGGGCAATCCAAGCTACCAAATCATTTTCCATTTATTTGAGAAGTTAAAATTATAATTCTTTTTTAAATCTCTTTATAATTCTTTCTAAATAATTTTCCAGGTTACCAGCACGGAGGTGCCAAGTTTCCAGTGCCACTCCACACTCAGCCAGAAAGCTTCACTTACTCTACCCCTCCACAGACAAGGCATCCCCCAGCACTGTGCTCCCAAAGCTGGGCACCCAAAGGATGAACGCCCAACCACACCCAAGCATCAGCAGCAGCCAGAAACATGGTCTGTATGACGTCCCGGACCAGGGCTGTCGGGGGAGCCTGAGTCACAGAGCACCAGCCGGGACTTGTCCCAAGTGAATGCATGACTGCTCATGTGTGGTTATGTCGATGTACTAGTAACAATGAGTGGGAATGACTCCAGGAGTTACTGTTGGATTTTTTGTATTCTAATGTGAACAAGAATCCCAATAGAAAAGTGCTCGCTAATAAATACTAAAACTTAAATATCTAACTTTGAAACCACAAAAATTTAATAAATCCATAGTTATTGTTTCTCTCTCTCAACTCTTTACATCCATGATAGTTTTCACATGTAAGTATTTTTCGGCCTCTTTCACACTTTAACTTAGCTTTTTCAGTGAATAACAGAGAGTACTCATCTACGCCAATCAGCTCTCATTATGATAAAAGACCGCATTGTTTTCTATAGATGAAGACAGCTGTTTGTTCTGATTTGTTCACAAAATGTTACTTTAACAGAATGATTGACCTATTAATAAGGTTTTGGGGCAAAAGGAAGAAATAGAGAAACACAATAAAATATGTGCCTTTTTGTTTTGTGTGGCACCCCTGAAAGCAGAGGAATGGCGGCAGCATCAGCCAGAGGCCTCTCAGCCCCAAACCAGCCTCCCCCTGTGGCACATCGTGCCGAGGCTCTGTACAGTACAATTGGTAGGACACCGTTGAGATCAGCTTCGCAGTCAATGACGTCTTTGAACTGCTCAAAGAAGGTAAGTAAGGTTTGATACCCTGGATTGAAATATATTCATTAAAGTGGTTCTCCCCCGCTCCTGGAGGCTTACGTCACTCACATTTCCTGTTCAAATCTTCCTCTTAATGGGGCGTAGCTGGTGGACTAAAAGGGGGCGTGAGGATGGGCCGTTTACATTGCCTGGGCGGGGGCGGCTGACGTAAGGTCCAACTTCTGTGCCCAGTGTTGGCGCCAGATGCATATTTTCATATGTAGTATACAGGTCGCCAGCAGATGGCGCCTCTCAGTCGGTTTTAGGCAGATAGTCGGACTTTCTCTCTCTGTTCACTGTCTCCTCACGAGGGGCGTATTTGGGGTGGGAGCTGGGGGGGGGGCGGTAGGTTTTTGGCAGGAGGGTGGGGGGTGTGGTGGGGAGATATGTAGGGAGAGAAGGGTGGGTGACCGCCCTTTTTTTTATTTCTTCTGTTCACGGTGTGATGTTTTTGGTTGTCAGTGGTGTCTGGTTCGACTGTATTGGTAGGTCGTGAGGGTGTGTCCGTGGTGTTGGGGTTGTGGTCGTGTGTTGTATTAAGACTTGTTTTTTTTGAGGGGCTTTTTCCTTTTGTATTAAAATTTCTTCCGCGTCTCAATTTGTCGTTTTTTTATTGTTAGCTTTTCAATCGTTTCGTTGTGGATTTCGTGATGTTGGGGGTTTTTTCGTTTCTCGTTGTTGTTCGTTTGTTGTTTTTTGAGAGATATAGTCAGACTTCTGCCTAAACCGTCTGTGTTATGAGGCGCACTGCTGGCGAACTGTATTACTTACATTTGAATTTTGATTGGCGCAACATGGCAAGAAGTTGGACCTGAACGTCAGGCCCCGCCAGAGCAATGTTAACCGCCCAAAGTCTGTTACGCCCCTTTAGTTCACTCCGGCTTCGCCCATTTAGAGGAAGATGTGAACAGGAAATGTGAGTGACGAAGCTCGAGGTGCTAGGGGTGAGAACCACTTTATGAAAAATGATTTCAATCCATGGTAGTCAAACCTTACTTACCTTCTTTGATCCAGTTCAAGACGTTCATTGACTTCGAAGCTGATCTCATCGGTTGTCATGACAATTACTGGTACAGAGCGCTGCAGCGCGGTGCCACAGGGGGAGGTGGGGGTTGGGGGCTGAGGCGGCTCTGGTGAGGCTGCGCTTTCCTCAGCTTTCGGCCAGCACAAAAATAAGGCAACATATTAATTGTGTTGTTTCTCTATTTCTTCTTTTGCCCCAAAACCTTTATTAATAGGTCCAATCATTCTTGTTTAAGTAACATTTTGTGAAACAATCAGAAACAATGCTGTCTTATCTATAGAAAACAATGCTGTCTTTTACAAAATGAGAGCTGATTGGCTTAAGAGTTCTCTCTTGTTTCCACTGAAAAAGCTAGTTATAGGTGTGAACGAGGCAACAATACGTACATGTGAAAACTATCACTGGAAAGTAAGGTTGTGAGAGAGAGAAACAATAATCTGGATTTCTTAAATTTTTGTGCGGTTTCAAAGTAGGATATTTTAGTTTTTATTATGTATTAGGATCACTTTTATTTGGGTTTTGTTCGACTTTAGAATACAAAAAATCCAACAGTCCCACCTTGAGTCATCCATCATTGTTACGAGGTCCATCGAAATAAAAACAGTATGTGTCAGTCTGCTTCACTTTGGGACATGTCGGTGGTGCTCTGTGAATCAGTGCCACCTGACATGCCCTGGTCCGGGAGTTCATAAAGTCCATGTTGCTGTTTGTGCTGTGCTGCTGCTGGTGTGTTTGGGCGTTTCTTTGGGTGCACGCTTTGGAGCTACAGGATGGGGGATGGCTTGTCTGTGAGGGTTAGAGTAAGTTGATGCTTTCTGGCTGAGTGGTGAGTGGCACAGGGAAACTTGGCACCTCCGTTTCTCGGTAACATGTGGGAAAATTAATTAGAAAGAATATATAAAGAAGATTTAAAAAAGCATTATATTTTACTTCTCAAATAAATGTGTAAATGATTAGTAGCTTGGATTGCTGTTGTTGTCTGTGGTGTGTGTTCGGAATAGGGACGGTGGCTCACAACCCTTTATTTAGTAGTAAATGTTTATCAATGTGATGGACAAAATTATATTTTGAAGAGATTTGCATTACAGAGATGATACATAATACACTCACTAAAAATGAAAAAAAAATATAAAAGAATACAAAACATTTTAAGTTTTTTTTACAAGTATGTGTATGCTATATGCTTTAAAGACTTTGTAGTAGCTGTGATAATGGTAGGGTAGTTCTAGAAGTGTATACATATTACGTTCTCCTCTTCCATCTGAAGGTGAGAGTAATAATGAAAGACATTTGGACAAAACGTATAAAAAAAGATTGGACACACCCTTCTCATTTCAAAGATTTGTTTTTATTTTCTATATTCATTATTTTTTCACTATGCAAAATTTAGATTTCACAATGAAGGCGATCAACACTATGAATTTAACTCCATGTGGAATTACGTATGTTCTTAAGTAAAAAGTATGAAACAACTGAAATCTGTCTTTCTTCTAAGTTCTTCAAAAGTGCACCTTTTGCTTGATTACTGCTTTTTTTTTTTGCACACTCTTGGCATTCTCTTCGATGCAGCTTCAGATTCCGGTAGTGATTGAAAAGGTCTTTTCCACATCTTGAGGAGATCCATGAGAGGCTTAGCATTTGTTGGCCCTTTCACCTTCACTCTGTGGTCCAACTCCATCACAAAAACCATCTGGATTGCCTCCACCAGTCTGGTGACTGTGGAGGCTGTCGTCACTCGCCCTTACACCGCTCGAGAGTGAATCTACAACTCACTGAATGACAAAGCATCCAAACTTTTTGGTCTGTACTGTATATGTCAGTCTGTCTGTCTGTATTGAGTAGTTCAGTGTTCTCAAAGTGTGGTACGCTAATCACTGGTACGCGGGGCTCCCTCTAGTGTTTGCAAAATGATAAAAATAAATATATATATATATTATATATTATATATTTTATTATATATATATATATATATTAGGGCTGTTCAAAATACGATTAATTTTTTTAGTTGATAATCGCATAGTAATGGTGAGTTAACTCACGATTAAATCGCATTTTTCAGCATTCTATTTTCAATTCCCAATCCACATTGAAGTTAATGCAGCTTTTCAAATGTAATTGGACACATTTTTATTCATACAAAAATGTACTTAAGAGTATTCAAAAGAATGTTTTTTACGACCAATAGCTGCAGCAGGCGTTTACGTCAGAGACAAATCTCCGAGGCTAAACGTTTACAATTTTTAGCTACTATCATAAATTTTTTTAATAAAAATACCAGAATCTTAATGCTACCAATTGTCACATGGCTCTGTTATACATATTGGGTCTATGCAGATACTATGTAGTGTAAACTGATTTAATCTACAAGAATATCATATTCTAGCAGATTAAACACAAGTCATCCGCCACATCACAGATGATACTTTAAAGGTATCTGTGGAAAGGCAAAGACAACCAAAGAAATTGCGGTACATATCATTGTAATCGTTAATGATTACTGTGTCGCTTGAAAAATATGAAATGCATGTACAAGTGAGTATATAGAGTAAACATAGATCATTTCAATGGATTTGCTCCATATACATATTTTTATTAAGTTTTATACAGATTTGTAATAATGAAAACGATGAACAGAATGTCCAGATACAAGTACAGGAAATGTACTCTGAAGTCTGATATTCTGCTAGCCTTCTCTCAATGCTCGGACCAATGTTCCACTTCTGAATGGACTTTGCATGTTCTCCCTGTGTTTCTCTGAGGGTTTTCCCCCACGACTAAAACTATGCAAACAAGCAAGTTATGTTTATTTAAAGGATTCTTTTTTTCTTTTTAAAGGGCCACAACAAAAGCACAGAGAGCCATGTAGTCCAAGGTCAAGGATAAGGTTTAAAGCAGTGTTAAGAAGTGATGCCAAGATTTCTCATGCTTTAACATCTCAAAGAGCACTGTTCAATCCATTATTCAGAAATAGAAAGAGTGTGACACCACCTGCAAACTTACCAAGACACGCGCAAACTCCTAAACTAACCAAGCCAAACAAGGATAGCACTGATGCTGTTCACAAACTCTCTCCATCTAATCTAACTGCTTCTACAGTTGTTTTTGTAAAGATGAATGAGACATAAACATTTAGTATTTCTTCTCTAGATGTGCAACGATTATGTAGAGTCATCATCAAAAGCCCTATTCTCGCGGGATTAGTACCATGGGTCTGGTCATTTTCAAATTACTTGCCCCACCTTCTGTGTTACTAGCAACACATTCACACAGGATAAGCCAATAGATTGTAAATTGCTATATTTTTCATTGGACATCACATACGGCCCTGCACGTGTGCAAGTCTCATGTTTGTGCTAATCCTTGGCACTTGATCATCTCCAAACACACATCACTTGTATTTAAACACTAGGAGGAGGAGAGGGTTGGACAGTGATTATGGACATGATTTTTTTTATTCACATCTGACCACAGCAACCACAGAGAGTATAAGGACAAACACATACATGAGAATTTTACTGCTCTATAGTTCTCTGGCCCGTACTGTCTCTTCCGGTGTGTACAGCTGCGAGACACAGGTCTCCTCTCCTAAAGAGAGAAGTTCGTCACTCGGCTGCGCTTACAATGTGTTCAAGCAGTTTCTACGTCATGGTGCTACGTCCCTTAGGACTTCGCTAGTGGGATATCACTCGTGAACCCCCAGGTCACGCGCCAGAGAGATCAAAATAATTTGCTCCAATCACCAGCCACCTTCCTCTATAAATGCCCCTGCACAAGGCCGAACCCCCTCTTTCACTCTGGCGCCGATTGAGATCTACGTTCAACTTACCTGAGGAAAGATGTCTTCTGATGCTCGTCCGAGTTCCCCTTCGCCATCCGGCGTCGGACGTCGTCGTTGCTCGACTTGTCGGGCCAAGCTCCAGCGCAAGGACCAGCACTCCAAGCTGCTTCGTGTGCCTGGGTTCGGGCCATGCGGCGTTGAGCGCCACCTGCGCCTCGTGTCTCGCTCTCCCCAGGGAGGAGAGTGAACGCAGGCGCGCGTTCTTCGCCGCTACAGCGCCCCGTCCGGACTTCTCTCAGGACGAGGAGTCTGTGATTGACTGGGCCCCTCTCGACCTTCCACCCGTGCCCGCGGAGTGGGGTGACTGTGAGGACGGAGAGGTTTCGGAGGTCGGCTCTCTCCTCACGCTGGACGAGGTGGTGTCCAACCCGGAGCCGGACCGCTTCCCGCTGGACCACATGCCTGGGCTCTATTCCACGGCGGCGGCCATCATGGATGCCCCCCTGCCACCGCAGCCGAACCAGAGGGTGGAGGACTTCACCTCTGGTTACGCCACCACTCGAGGGAGGAGGAGGGCGCAGCCCACCTTGTGCCCGCGGATGGACCCGATCGTCCATTACGCGACACGTGAGTGGCCAAAGCCCCTAGCGGCCAAGAGGCCCGCTTTGGGGTACGGCATGTACTGTACCGTGCAGGACTGGTCCTGGACCAGCGGGGTCCCGGACATCGAGGACTCGGTTCTAGCGGCCCTGCACCCCTCCGCATCCGTGTGGCCCGGCACCAGACCTCTCCTTCCCTCTGAGCGGGACAGGATGTCTTTGGCGATGCACGATAGATGTTACGCCAACGCGGCTCAGGTCGTCGCTGTGGCTAACAACATGGCCTTCATCACCGGGGCCCTGGATAGGTCGCTCTCCTCTGGCCAGGCGCTCAGTGGAGACACCTTATCCCAGGCGAGGACCACTTCAGCGGCGGTCCTGCGCATGTGCCAGGCGCTAGCTGTCGATGGCGGCCGCACGATGGCAGCAGCACAAGTCGGGGCCCGACACCTCTGGCTGGGGCTGGCAAACATCAGAGAGGCGGAGAAGAGGCAGCTGCTGGACCTGCCCATCTCCCAAACGTCGCTCTTCGGTCCGGAGATGCAGACCTTGATGACTAGGCTGGACACCGCAGCCAAGGACTCTGCTAGCTTAGCCCAGCATCTGGCTACGAGGCGGGCCCGCCCACCAGCGCGGAGCCGTGACAGAGGCAGGGAGCGCTCGCCCGACAGGCGCCCCGGACCATATCCACGCTCCGTGGTTCATCGTTCCCCAGCGACGAGGCCCCCGGGCCCAG